TTTTAAATATTTATTAAATATTATTTATGTTAGATTAAGTCAAATATCATTTGTATTATAAATACATATTTTATATCTTATTGTTGAACTTTACATTATATCAGTATGAAAAATTCAATTTCTCTTGTCTCATTCCTCGCCGACTTGTCATCTAGTCTTATTCTGCGTTATCAGAGTGAAGCATGCTTTTGCTCATGGGCAGACAGGCAACCCGACTTACTGACGTGTTTGTTGTGGAAATATCCTGTACATATACGAGTATGTATATACTATTTTTATATATATTTTGTATATATATTTTATATAAACTATGGAGATAAATCATGAAATACAATATATTCTTAATAATAATATTAATGTTTAAAAACAATGTTTAATACAAATTCGGTAATTGTTAAGCTCTCTCATGTGCGATATATTGATAAAACTGATGAAAAGCAGTGACATAAGCATATAAGCTGTCCAAGCGAATTTAACATAAATTTCGTTCAAATTCCAAGATATGATACAATAGAATCATATTAATAGGTTATTTGTCTGGATTTACTTTAAGAAAAGAGGATTTAATTTTATTGAACGAATTATAAAATTTTTCTAAATAATTAGTAAATTATAATAGAGAATGTGATAGCACATGCTCATATATATAGCTGTTTTTTAACAGTATGACAAGTTTTTTAATCTGTAGTCAAAGGATATAGTAGCGTAAAGAGAGGATTTCGGGCCCCGCACGTATCGAATGATCGTCACAGAGAGCAAAATGAACACCTCAAAAAAAAAAAGGAATATTTTGGACAAAGTTTTATCCTAAAAGAACCATATCATTTCGAGACAAATTGAAAACAATTGAAAAAATGTAATTTTTTATTAGTATTTTTTTCTCCAAATGTAAACGGACTTTTACAAAAAAAATCATGCCCTTATAAAGAGTATCAAAAAAATTATATTATTTTTATGCAGTAAGAACTTATTTGTTTATTCAACATTCTTGGCTCAAAATTCTGCTTCTAAAAAATTAACAAAAAGATTTTCAAAATTGTAAATTTTTATATGATTTGAATATTTGTGATCACTTCTAAAATAATTTAGCAGCTAAATCATATTACATATTGTATTTGATATTTTTGCAGATTTTTGGATTTGGTAGAACATGTCAAAGAAAATCATTTTCGCTATTTTTCGACCTAAAACATATGAGTTGATATATTATTAATTGTTCTTAAATATAATTGTATTTCAATTCCACATCTGCAAACAATAGTTTAAAAAATTTTAATATTATATAGAGCTTGCGTAGGTTAAACAACAATTCCATTTCTTCTTATTTAAAAAAATTAATTTAACTGTGCATTTATTCCATTTTGAGTTAAATAGCTAAATATTTTTCTTTTTCTTCCTCCTTGAACCTCCCTCTTATTAGAATTTTTATAAAAGGAGTCCGTCGGAGGAGCTGCCCAGTCTGGTCAATATCAATGCGTTTCACGCTCTAATGAAGCAAACGGTAAAGTTTACGAAACGAATTGGCATTGGTAATGGATCACGACACAAGGGCAACCTCGAAATCCTTTGGTACCTTTGAAAAAAGTAAGTGTTGTATAAAAATTATATACATTATTATATATTATTATTTAGTTGGTAAAAACAAGTAACTTTAGGATCATCAAGGAAAACATAACAAAACGTTTGCAAATCTCTAAGCTTTTTTAATAATTCTTTGAAATCATAATACTTTCATTATATTATGTTTAGTACGTATATATATTACGTTTATTATAATATGCAAGCTAAAATAATTTGTATTTTAATATTATGGATATAAAAATAATTTTGTTAAAGAAATTTCATATTACAAAATAATCTATTGACTCAATTTATATATAACTTTTATACATAAACATTCCAAATATTTTTTTTAATTTACAATCTATTTAATAAAATAATATAATATGATATACAACTTTTTAAATTATTTTTTACCTATATTGATATTAACAAAATTAAAATGTCTGATTGTTACACGAATTGATATAAAAAAATTGCTTTAACCTTAAATAACCAATAAGTGTTCCCATCTAAGAAATTTACTAAAATTTGTATTATTATATCATGTGATTATATTAATCTAATCTATGATATCTATGATATCATTTCAGTTATATAATTTCAGTCATTCGTTAACAGCCGATGTAAAACGACGTACTTTCTTTAGGTTAGTGCAATTCTCATATGTAGACTATCCTTTGCTTTTAATCATGATATAGTTACGATTTCATACTTACATTTTAATTAATTATTTATTAGATTAATGTGAATGCAATTATTTTATTAAAGACACCTAATAAAGAAGAATAGAAAATTTTATTAAATTAAAAATGTGAAAATTGTAATAATTATCTAATAATTGTGATAAGAGTTTCTATAAAGATGTAGCTTTACAATCATATTAGATTTTCTGGTATTGTCGAAGTATTATAGTTTAGAAATTATTTTTTATTCTTAATTATTAAATTATTTTTTATTCTATTATTTTAATTTTTTATTATAGAATACAAAAAATTAATATATTTTATATGTAAAGAACATATCCTTTATATTATATTTTAATTTTTTATTATAGAATACAAAAAATTAATATATTTTATGTGTAAAGAACATATCCTTTATATTATATTTATTAATTAGATTGCTAGTTAGTTTCGCATAATTTACTTTCGTTTTTCCAATTCCTCGACAAATTAATGGAAAGACAAATATATAATTTTATTTAGTATAATAATCTATATAATTTAATTAAAAAAACAAAGAATATATAATAATATTACAAAATATAATTAGTGACAATTTTTTCAAGTGCAACAGACAAGTTGACGTTAAACAAGAATTTATTGAGCATAACAGTACTAGATAATATTACTTAGAATTAATCAGTTGTTGCAATATTAAATTTTCACACTTTATACGTATGCTGCATGTTAAAAGATAATCAATTATTATAAATAACGCTATTCGTGAGTTTATTTCCGTAATTCCATATTTTTGTATCATGATTTTATCATTTCTTCATAATTGTATATAATTATCTATCACGTTTTATTTTTATATAAATTCGTAAAATTCCTTTGGCAAACTCACATGCAAATTTTGAAACTACTTCGAAATTGTAAAACTACATACATAATATTTTAGACGGTACACAAAATGATACATTTTTTACTACATGCTAAATCTTCTCGAATCAATATTTGTATAATGCAAATCACAGTTATTCCACATACATTTTTTACACAAAACAATTAGGACATTTGTTAGTATTACACATTTAACAAAAGTAGACCGTTATTATTGCTATTTTACATAAAAATTGAAATAATTTTATTTTATATATTTTGTGTTCAAATTTTTTAAATATTACACTAAGTTATAACTGTCGATGGAAGCAATGTGTAAAGTGTTTAATCCTTCATATTTCTTATCTTGTTAAATTACAATACGATACAGATTTTTATCATATCATAAAATTATCGATCCTTTCTTATTCGTAATTAATGTGTTAGAGGAAAACTTATTTACAATAAAAAATTATATTTTTAACATTATCGTATTAAGTAAATTATGTTGAATTTAGATAAGTTTATTATTTGCGCTAAAAAACTTTTACATAGATAATGTAATATTTTTGTAGTTATTATGTAATATTTGACTTTCACAGAATTGTAAAAATGCTCTGATTGTAAAAAGTGTCTTTTTAATTTATTTCTGAAATATTAATTTAATTTAATTGAATATATATTAGATAGTAGTTCAACATCTTAACACTCGGACCGGGAAGGCGCTTTGTATTTAAAGTTGTAATATTTATATAGACGGTCTTGTTTCCAATCATATAATTTATGTAAGTTAATAAAAATTTTTAAGATTATTAATTACAGAAATTTAAAGTTTAAATCATAGAATTTAGTATGATTAAAATATTGCAAAATTTAAATTGTTTTATATTATTTCATTGAAGAAAATAAAATATTGTATCTTATTGTGTCTATTTATAAAATTTAAGTTACGTGTGGCACAATTGATACAAGTTTTTGGTAATGTTATGTGAATAATTATTAAAAATACAATTATTATATTTGTATACAATATTTATACATATATGTAGGTATAATTTTTTATGACGCGGACGTTTATTATAGTGCTTATGTATATTATTAAACAAAAAATTTGAAGTTATTAAAGAAAATGGAGTAGGTATATGAAATTTTTATGGCTAAATATACAAGTACAGCTTTTCAAGAAGCTGTGTAACTTTCGAATGAAAATTGACGTTATCATAAATTTCGGCATTTTAACTTTGATTTATTCAATGTTTATATTTATACACTGAAAGAAAAGATTGGCTGCTGCAGCAAATTAGATGATAAAATATGTCATAGCATTTTTAATTGGTTGCAGCATTTTTAATTGGCTTTTGTCATCTAATTTGCTGCAGCAGCCAATCTTTTCTTTCAGTGTATACATGTACATTAAGAAAATTTTTATAAATTGATATATATACAATTACAAGAAAAATTTGATTTCAGGACTGATATTAGAACCGAACAATAATGCCGAATACAACCATCAACATTAATTATTTGAAAAGTTGGAATGGAATCGCTAAGATTTTTCAAGTGGTATTTATCATTGTTTTATTCAGTTATTGAGATTGTTGTTATGATTTCTTTTATTTCAAATATTTAATATTAATTTTTATAATGTAGTTAATTAATTATCAAGCATCATCAATTTAATCGTCAATTTTTCAATTAATATGTATGATAACTTTAAATGTAAATAATTCTAAATAATTTTTGTTGCGCTTAATTATAAAATATATGACATTCAAAAATTAAAAGATCAATATTATTTCTAGTTTAAAGTAATCAATTTACAAAAA